TTATTTGCTACCCCAAGAGTTTGTTATTTATTCGAACCATAAGACTCTCCGTCATCTCACAGCCCAAAAAATGTTGAATTCTAGGCATGGACTCTGGATTGAATATTTGTAGATCTATTCTTTTGTTTTGATTGAAACATAAGGATGTTGAGAACCAGGCGGCTGATGCATTAAGTCGTCGTGCGTCAAGGTTATAGGTTTCGAAAGAATTAAGGAGTACGAGACATGTCTCAATTTTAAGGATATTTTTCATAATTTGCAAGGACGGTCGGATACTGCAGATGGTTTTCGCTTGAGAAAGGTTACTTTTTTGGAGCCAATAAATTGTGTGTATCCCTCATACTTTAGTGGGGGACTTCATAGTGTGGGAAATTCATGCGGGGGCTTAACTGGTAACGTTGGGCGTGATAAGACCATAGAGGAGATTGGACGTTAATTCTATTGGTCTAGTTTGAAGAAAGATGTGGCAAAGATAGTTAATACATGTAACACCTGTCAGTTGGCCAAGATGTGAATATGGATTTTATGTTAAGACTTCCACGTACCCGAAGAAGCATGATTTATTTTTGTGGTAGTCGGTCATTTCTCGCAAATGGCTCATTTTATCCCTTCTAGTAAAACCTCATATGCGTCCAAGGTTGCCATGTTATATTTTAATGAAATTGCCATATTGTGTTAACTAATGATGGAGAGTTCAACGCTTCCTTGTTCGTTGGGTTGATCGACCTAAGTCTGGCTGTACATGGATTACCAGAAAGATACTCCAGCAGCTTGACCTATATTTATTGGAGTCAGCAAGATCTTCCTTTATACAGATCTCCTTCCATCCATTCAGGGAGAATAATTCAGACTGCTACTAACACGTTTTTATGGACGTCGTTAAAATTTTGTTTAACCTTTTAGTTTATGGTTGGGTTATTAATTGCAGTCTCTTATGATTTATCCCCTCGACTGGGTCTAGTTTTTCTCCCACCCCAGAAGAGTTGATACGGACATCCATCGAGATTTATTTTCTATTGTGGATTTTTTATTATTTATGTTTTCTATTATTTGGCTTGTCTTATTGTGTTGCCCAAACCCTTCACTAGTAGGGTTAGGTTTTACTATTTATATGGTTTTTACATTGTAATTGAGACAATTGATGAATGAAATTAATCACGTTTGGCTTTGCCTACGTTCTCCCTCTCCTGTTTTCCCTCTTCCCCACTCTCCACTGTTTCTTCCCTTTCTGCACTTCTTCTGCCTTCTACTTTTTCTTTTGCTTTCTTCTGTTGCTGCTTTCTATTGAATGCCAATTGATTCTACATCATAAAGAGTACAGCATATAATGTAAAGGAGTTCCAAGATAGAAGCAATGGAGTTCCAAAGTTGCAATACATGAGGATCAAGAAATTTCAATAATAGAAGTAAATGTTTCAAAAGGTTGTTTGGAAATATGATTGATTTGAAGAAAGCTTGAATTTGGTTCCTTTTCTAATGGGTCGGAGTATTTCAATCCATAATGTTATCGAAGCAAGCTTGTTGAAGAACCTATTTCTTAGTGGGCTAAATCGTAATGCTTTGGTATCTTTATTACAATCTTTGGCCTTGAATTGCTTTCGCAACCCACATTTTCATCTTGTTCTGCGAGAAATTGAAGCGCCTACTTAAAGTACTAAATGAAAAAAAAAAGGCTGATAAGAAGTAAAGCTGAAAACGTGCATTGCAATCTTCAACTAATGTCATAAAAGGAAGAGGAGCATAAAAGATGAGCAGAATATCTGGATTTGAGTATGGATAGTATTTTCTTTATTTCCTTTTTAGATATAGGATTTTGTTACATTAAGTTTTTTGTCATTTTGTATTTTGAAGGTAGAGAAAAAACTAGTATTAAGCTTGCCGAATTCTCTCTTGATGAGCCACAATTGAAGGAAATTATTTTTTATGAGAGCTTAAATTGAATTGTATTTTAGTTGGATTTTAAGAAGACTATTTATTGCTTTTATTGTTACGACATTTTAGATGGTTTATGTTATTTTTGCATGATGTTTTGTTGACTTTTTTGAAACATTTGTAGTCCTTGTGGTTATTGGACTTTAATGTTATTTTAGAATTGGATTCAAAATGATGTATTGTTACGTCTTTTTTTGTTATTTTAGCATTGAATTTAGATTTATTTCTATAAAAAAAAATATCAAAATTTTATAAGACGTATCCCCGTATCCAAAGTTTGGATCATTTTTCACCATGTCCTTGTATCCTAAATTTTAAAGAACAAGCATCCGGTTCCTAGATATGTATCTGACACCCATAGCTGAGTTCGAGCAACTACCACGTGGGTGAACACATAAGACTCGGTATGACAGTGTTCATTTTAAGTTTTTGTGAGTTCAAATACAATATGAGTAATGACGCATTTGGAATATCCAAGTTAATCATAATATTCGTGAAATTCAAGATGGTTGTTTTTTGGCTTTTAGTATTTGGACTCTTCAGCGTGAATTTTTGAATTATAGGAGAATTGGACAGATTGTGCAACTATCAGGGAATAGAATTTCATAATTAAGAAAATAGGTTTTCAGTAAGTTAATTCATTGATATTGGTTCTTCAGGATTCATGCAAATAATCTACTCCTTTGATCTCTATATAATGCCTGTGAATGGTTCTAATAGTTTCCTCTTGTGTATTCACGAACTTTTAGTTGTTCTTATTGTGAAGGCTTTGGGTTTTTAAGACTAAGATTGGGCTACTCAGAGTATTAATAGTCTTATTGGAGAATTGAAACGGTTCTGTGCTTCACCTTTTCCGTAAGTTTCAAGATTCAGTTAGTGACAAACTGTAAAGATAATGCTATAGTTATCACTTCTGGGTCACTGTTTCTTGACATTATATTGCAGAAATTTGAAAGGAGATAAATATTTTGCTTCTCTCTTTCCCCAAATCCTGTTATATTCTTACTGATAGATTTAATTTCCTTCCATGGCACTATATATACATTCTGTTGATATAGTGGGTAAAACAAACTGGGGGATGATTCTTAATTTCAAGGTCAAGAAATTGCTTCAGCAGGATTGCTTTTCTTATGGAGAATTGTCATTCTCGATTTAAGAATGAAATCGTAAGTCTTGTGTCTAATGTATAATTGGTAGCTTCAACACATTTATTGATGTTTGACCTAATTGATTATTTATTAAATGTGCCTTATCTGTAATTCTATCTATCTTCATGCAAATTACACTTGAGTGTGTGCTCCTCGGGTTCTTTCTTTCAGGAAGCAGCTATTGACCTAAAGCTCCCTAGAAGAAGCTTGTTAGTAACTTTCACATGTAACTCTTGTGATGCACGATCACAGAAGTTGATAAACAGATTAGCTTATGAGCGAGGGCTTGTTTATGTACAGGTAATTATTTTCTGAAGCTGTTGTTTGTGTAATCAGTGTTACAATTTATTTTGTTGTCTGCCATAAGTGGTGGTGGTGAGAGTGAGAGTGAGAGTGAGAGTGAGCGAGGGATGGGCAATGATTAAAAAGAGCATAAAAGACAATACTTGCCATGATTTATACCCGGTCCTGATTAACTATATTCGAATGTACTTCCTATTGGCTTGTCTAACCATCTGCAACAAATCGTTATTAATGTTACTTTCGTTATTTGCTCATGAGGATGCTATGTTCTATTTACATTTTTGTAGAATATGCATGATTAGAGCCTTTCTGTATTCAAATACTAGTTCTTTATTTTTCACGTTATATGTTTCAGACTTTCGGCTATTTTGTCTTTCAGTACTACTGAAATCTTTTTGTATTTAACGGCTTCTACTGGCTGTGCTTTTCAACAGTGTTCAGGATGTTCCAAGTATCACAAGTTAGTCGACAATCTCGGACTTGTGATTGAGTACAACTTCCAGGAGGAAACTGATCAAATCTAGAGCAAGCTTATTATTAATTTTCATTCAGTTTGTCTGTTTTACTTATGTAAGAATATATGTTAACAATGAACAAATTTCATATCATTTATATAGTGACAATACAATGTTTTGGGGAAAAAGAAAGAAAATCAATATGAAATGAAGTGTTGTCTGCCCTGATCCTCTGGTGTATGCCAACAATTCTTCTTTCATGCAAAAACCTTCCAGTCATCTGTACCACTGCTTGCCCCATAAAAGCTTACGAGCAGAAGCTCGTGACGGCCAAGAGAGTGACCAGTGCCAATCCAGCAGTTGCCCACATTCTAGATCTTCCCTGCTGACCTAGCGATGCCCCTCCATTCTGTAATTGAATGATGAGGAATCAGAAACTTTATTACGTTTAGGATTTTGGCCAGGCACTATTGAAAACAATAAGGTATAAAAATGGAAAGTATATGCATTACCAAATTTAGAGTTGGTGATGGTGCTGGTGTTGTTTCCTCAGTATCTTGAACAGTTGGTGGTGCTGGAGGGCTGGGAACAGTTGGTGCAGGTGCTGGTGCCTGATGATGCCTGTGCTTGTGCTTCCTTTTCTTGTGCTTGCCAGGTGCTGGTGCAGGCGAGGGAACCAAAACTGGTATGGGGGCTGGTGGTGCCGTAGGTGGTGGAATTGGTGGAGGTATTGTCGGTGCAGGAGCGGGTGCCTTTATTGCTGGGGCTGGTGTTGGTGGTGGCTGTTGGACAGGTGCAGGGGATGCCTGTGGTGGAGGTACAGCTGGTGAAACCACCGGTGGTGGAGTTGGCAATGATGGTGGCTGGGCTGGACTTGCTACTGGATTTGGTGGAGTTTGTGGTGGTGGGACTTGAGGTGGCGGGGTGGTTGGGTTGGAAATTGGTGGAGCTATAGGTGGTGATGACGTTATAGGAGTGGTTGTTGGAGTTGCTGCACTTGACGCTGGCTGTGCTGCTGCTGCTGGTGTCGTAGTCGGTGGGGTTGTGGACGGTGTATTTGTAGGTGAAGCTGCTGGTGCTTGGGCATTGGCAATGACAAACAAAATGCTGAAGCAAGTTGAGACATAAAAGCCTACAGATGTTGCCATTTTCCAGAGTTAGATATAATGAGAACAAACTTGCGCTTTTATATATAGCTCAGGGATTTCAGAAATATTAGAAGCTTCAAATTGGGGTTTGGTGTGTTGCAAGGGGAAATGTAGTTTTCGTATGAATGAAACATCTGCTCTACTTTTGCATCTTCGTCAACAGAAAGGTTACCTCTAAGGTCATATTTGGTATGCAGTATGGAACGACATTGTACACAATTACAAACGAAATTTCAAGTTCTTTTGCTTTCCTAATATCTGAGTATTATTAATACAGATTTTTTTCTTTGTTAATCGTGTCTAATACCCATCCCACCCCAAAAAATAAAAAATAAAAGTCGAAAGGGCTTCAATATTCTGAATCATGTGATGCATCAAGCTTGGAAATTTGGAATTCCTTATCAGTCTTGTTCATCTGTTTCTATCAGACAACTACCTGTTAAGGCATGATGAGATCAAATCAATAATTGGTGCCCCGTAATCATTCTGGAATATTATTTAATAATTTTTTCTCTACGTGGAGTTAGTTCATGTGCATTAAAGTAATCCACATTTAAATGATGTTGTTTCTTGAGAAATTCTTACATAAATGAAGTTTTGTGGATTTCCTTCAAAGCAAAGTATATGCAGTCGCCTTAGCAATGCAGGAAAGTAAAAAATAGAGCCCACTAAATGATTTTCATTCTACAATATAAGAGCTTGTTTGTCTCCCATTATTGGGAGAAAATTAGTGTAATGAATAGTATTTTTTGGAGAATGTGTGGTTGAAAATTAAAGTAACTTTATTGGTTTGTGTGTAAAATATTTTATTGGGTGAATGTGTGGTGGAAAATTTTACTGTAACAAACAATTTTTTGGATTAATGGTAGACAAATAGGGGCTAAGTTTTGTTTGGTCCCAATTTTTAAAATTTATTTTTTCTTAACTAATTTTACAATTATTGATTTTATAATATTCATAATTCTTATCAATGTTTTTACCATGTATCTACCTTACCTATAATAAAAGAGCCACTTCCCTCATTACTGTTCATGAGCCGAGAGTCGAGCTGAATGGCTTTTTGGCTCGGCTCGAACCAGCTTGGCTAAGTCGTATAAGCCGAGTTTTTTTTTTCATATCTATCTCCTTCCATTTCTCTCTACAATCTTAAAAGAAGAAAGTTTGGTTTCACGATTTTTTATTACTTTTTCCATATTTACACGCAAACTGCTATACTCTTTACGCATATCCTTTCCTCCCGCCATTTCTCTCTCACTTTCCCTTTTCATTTTCTCCCTGTACAGTGACCAAAACCCTAACGCCCCGTTTGATTGACGAAATTTTCCATGGAACTAGGAAAATATTTTCTATTTTCCACTTTTTTGACTGTTTGATAGACGAAATTTTCCACCGGAATATTTTCCCTCCCCATCCCCCACGCGCCTATTTTCCGAGTTTTTGGTGAAGTGGGAAAAAGTTTTCCAGGCGGCCGTTGAAATTTTTTGTTTTGTAATGGAAACAAATGTCATAACCAATTGTAAAAAAAAAAATCACTTTAATGGACAATTTTCATATAAAACAAAGTCAAAACGAACACTAAACTTTGATTAAAAAAATGATTTTTTAGGAAAAAATTTCTTTTTTATTTTTTTTTTACTTTTAGATAATGGAAACAAATTTTATAACCAATTGTGGAAAAAAAATATCAATTTAATAGACAATTTCCATGTAAAACAAAGCCAAACGAATAGAAATTTTAAAATTTTTAGGGTGAAAAATTATACCAATCGAANCAGTCTCCATCAGTAAAAACCTAGTGAATGAAATTTCTATCACATTTTTTCTTCCTTTATTTTAACATCCGCTGACATAAATATACCAAGGTTAATTACCTAATTGGTCACTGAACTTTAAGTAAAGTTTTCAAATGGTCACTGAATTTTAAAAGTTTCCTCGTTAGTCACTGAACTTTTTAAAATGTAATCTCATCAATTACTCACTAAACGGACGATTAAAAAAATTGAAGAATTTGAGGACGTGACTGGTGGAATTGCTTCCTTGGCAATCTATTTTCCACTTGGCTTCCACGTTAACAATTTAAAAATTGAGTGTTGGATGGGATAATGAATTACAAAGTTTAGTGATTAACTGTGTAATTTTTAAAAGTTCAGTGACTCAGTGGAAACCTTATGCATAGTTCAGTGTGATTATTCAGGTAATTAACCTCTATTTTTATCAATCTTTATTATTATTTTTTTTTTAGTCTTTTTTTCTTTTTCTTTTTTTATGTTCATATCCCACAATTTTATTTTCTCTCTAGCATCGTCAAGGTACATTGATCACTTAATAGTATTCAACTTTGAAATCCATGCACATCTTCAGCTAAGTACCTAATAGATTTATAATTTTTATTTGTGTGTGTCCTGATGGAAAGACGACCAAAACTAAAGCAGCCCATGGAACTGTCACACACCGCTACCAAAAAAGGAGATAAAACAGCTTTACTTCAATCTTTGCTTGGACTTGGTAGCTCGCACACAAGTAACTAAATTTGGTTTTGAGTCTAACAATTTGCTATAATGAAATGCATTATTTTTAAATATCTTTTTGCACTGCAAAGTTTAATGGTTTCCTTTAACCATGAATAAGAAAAAAATAATTAACAAGTAAGCAAAACGTTTAAGGTAAAATTGGACAAAAATGAGAAGCTCTTGAAGTTCACTGAGAAACTAGAAGCAGCTTGTATGGTGTGGTACATGGATCCAAGTAAGTGACCATTCATCGTTTCTTAGTTTGTATTCCTCAACAAATGAAAGAAAGATCTCGTTCTGCTCATCATTATGTACTCTTTTATAAAGTTAAGAGTCTTTGTTAAGACAAGTATCTAAACACTGAGAGTTCATCAATGCTATGGCAAATGAGTTGAAAGCAAAACTTTTTAGCTAAGCAATAGCATACGTGAATATTTGTATCAAGTTTGACAATTTTACGTAACTCATAAAAATGGGATTAATTACTTCAATCATTGCACTTTGCGTAAAGTTTTCATTGGGTCACTGGACTTTTAAAAATTACCCCGTAATCATTGAATTTTGTAATTTGTTATATCATCCATCACTCAATTTTTAAATTGCTAATGACGTGGACACCAAATGGAAAATAAATTGCCACGTACGCAATTCCTTCAACCACATCAGCAAATTCATCAATTTTTTAACCGTCCATTGAATGAGTGATTGATGGAAATATATTTTGCAAATTTCAGTAATTAATGAGGAAACTTATGAAGTTCGGTGAGCTCCTGAAAATCTTACTGCAAAGTTCAGTAAACAATCAGGTAATTAAGTCGAATATACAATGGATGACTTTTCTTAGCTACTCAAAAGACTAAATGGGGCAAGAAAAACTACTTTTAGCATTTCCTTTTATTAATTATTTTCATAAATCAATTTTATAGAGGTGGCAAGGCTCAGCCATAGTTTACACAAGCTTGGCTCACGACGAGCTAAGTTCTACCAAGGGTCGAGCTCAACTCAACTCAACTCGTAAGCTCATGGGCTGAGCAAACAAGCTTCTTTTTTTTCTTGTTAAAACTTTTAATTTTAAAAAAAAACGTCCTCCTTTTATTCAGGCTCATGTGATCACAAAATGCAATTTCGACATATGTAAAATTATATGTCTAGTTTAGTTATTGATCCTCCTCCTTGAGGTTTTTAAGGAAGCGAAATCAATAGCTACACTCATTTTGAATCAATATATGGATCAATGCCTATGAATTTGTAATAAAATTGTGGAGAGTGGAGTAGAAGAATTGTAGTATGTAGATTTTGTTGTGAGAAGAGAGAAGAGATTGTATAGAGTAGAAGAGAGGTTGTAGATTTTGTTATGAGAAAAATATTGTAGAACGAGGGAGTATTTATAGATGAAAAGCAAAAAATAAAA